TGTGTCTTGGGAACCAACGATCTCTGCAGTTTCTGCACGGGTTAGGGTTACCCTGAACAGGCTTACGGGTATCCTTGTTCTGTTCTGATTTCCCATCGCAAAGGAGTTAGCTCGCGAAAAGGGTCTTGCTTGGTATGAGTTGAGCTCTCCCTCTTGCAACTCAATCATCCTAGCGATTTCCACGATGTCGTTCATATCGACGGGTCTGCAGCGAACTACCTGGTCTCGCAAGCTCTTCTTCAACCCTCGCAAAAAGGCAGACTCCAGCACGTCGTTAGGAACATAAGGGAATTCCACCGATAGCTCCTCGAACCGTTCGCTGAACTCATCCACACTCCCTTGCTGAGTAATGCTCAGGAGGTGATCTACGGCTGAGCTTCCTCGGCTGGGTTTGAATCTGACCTTAAACTTGTCCTTGAAATCCTTTCAGGTCGTGATTCGCTCCCTCTCATGGTGGGAAATAGCAATAACTCAGAAGACCGTAAATTTGACCATAGCATGCGGACGACCTGTTGCATCATCAATCCAAATCTAACCTCCATGTACTTTTCCGCAGACATTGGAGCTTCCCAGATTAGATCCATAATTTCATGTCATTATCCATATCGCATCATCGCTAGGTCTCACTGATGAAACCAATGTCAAGGGCCTACTAGACTCATTCCCATACTATACCATGAAAAACTGATCAAACACACAAAGGTACTCTTCCGGTCAATGGATAACAAGGTTCAAAAACGCGAGTACTGATGGTAATTGCCACCGAATCCCGGGTTTGTTCCCTTACTATATATCAAAGGTGTAGGCGAATAATGGATTCATGGGAAATTTTTCTACCTCTCGCTTCCATCCTTTGTGTGATCATTCCTTTTTAGAAGTAAAAGAATGAGATCCTTGGAAATTTTCCTAACCCTTTACTTCCAAAAGAAAATCATTTCAATCTTTTCTGTCTTTTCCCTTCTATTTTTTTTTACTAAGCATAAAGGAGAGAAGTACCATATCTAGATCTCACACAGGTCCTTGTTTATCAGGTATGAATGAGGAGTCAAGTCCTGTGAACACTGGTCACATCGATGAGGTGAAAGGAAGAGCTCAAAAATTAGCTCAGGTCAATGGATTTTATCAGAAACATGGACGCCTCTTGTCCGCTAGTCAGCCCTTGGATTTTCCATTAGTCGGGTCTAGACTGATTCTGCAGAAATGGTCACTAAAAAGAAAATGGTCAAAATTCACAAATGGTCTAAACTCATCACAGATTTGGTCCTAGTTCCCACAAGCTTTGACTTGACTCATATAACTAACTGACTTAAAGAATCAGAATGACTCAAAGAAACAAAATACTCAAAGAAACAAACTAAAAACTGACTCAAAAAAAGTGTTAAAAGAGTGAGGACAAAAGAAAGAAGTACAAGAGACACGACCTTCCCCCGGACTTATTTCACGCCATCACGCTAGAGAAGTTCCCAGAAAACTTACCTGGTTTGCACATATGGAGCACCCTGGTGGAGCGGGTGCTCCGGAACAGAGTTGGGTGCTCCCTCGTCTTTTCTTCGTCTGGAGCAGGTGCTCCGATTTCCCTTGGGTTGCTCTCTCGTCTTTTGTTCGTCAGGAGCACCCAGCGGAGCAGATGCTCCTTCGTCTCTTTTTACGTTGTGAGCATCCAACCCAGCAGATGGAGCGGGTGCTCCGGTTGGTTGCTCCTTCTTCTTCTTCCTCACATCCTTTCTTCACGATGAACAACTTCCTACCTGGTTTTTTTGTTTGTTTTTTTATTTTTTATTTTTTGAAAAGGAAAGCAAAACTAAAAGTTAGTAACAAAGAAAACAAAGACATAAGTTAGAGACTCTTACTGGTGGGTTGCCTCCCACTAAACGCTTATTTTAAGTCACTAGTTTGACTTGGAAAGCCATTTAGGCTTGAGGAGGATCGCTTAAAGTGAGTGATTCACCTTCTGCAACATTTGGACCAGCAAGATACAGCTTCAATCTCTGCCCATTAACAACGAACTCACCTCCTTTAGTGTCCTGCAACACTACAGCTTCATATGGTCGAACCTCTTTGATGGTGAAGGGTCCAGACCATCCTGATCTCATTTTTCCAGGAAAAAGCTTCAATCGAGAATTAAACAGCAGCACCTGATCGTTTGGTGCAAAACTACTGTTGAGGATTCTTTTGTCATGGAAAGCTTTAGTTTTCTCCGTGTAGCTGCATCACTCTCCTCTCATGAGCACTTCTAGCATCGAAATTCAGCAACTTCAGTGTCCAAGAAGCTTTGTACTCGAGTTCCACTTGGAGATGACAAGATTTTCCATACACCAAGTGAAATGGTGTAGTCCCCAAAGGTGTCTTGTAAGCTGTCCTATACGTCCAAAGAACATCATCAAGCTTTACTGACCAATCCTTCCTTGTGCTGCTTACAGTTTTCTGCAGAATGTTTTGATCTCTCTGTTGGAAATCTCGACCTGCCCCCTTTTTTGAGGATGGTATAGGATCGCCACCTTGTGCTTTACACCATTATTCTTCAACAAGTTATCAAAAACTTTGTTGATGAAGTGAGATCCTCCATCGCTGATCACAACTCGAGGCACACCAAACTTTGGGAATATGACAGATTTGAACATCTTCAGAATCACCTTTGCGTCATTTGTAGGACTAGCCAAAGCTTCGACCCACTTTGACACATAGTCAACTCCCACCAGAATATACTCATTGCCATAAGATGATGGAAATGGCCCCATGAATTCGATACCCCACACATCAAAAATCTCCACATCCAGAATGAAGTTCTGAGGCATCTCATTTCTCCTGCTTATGTTCCATAGTCTCTGGCATGTGTCACACCTGGATATGGATCTCTGCGCATCTCGGAACATAGTAGGCCACCAATACCCAGCCTGGAGAATCTTTGACACTGTTTTAAAAGTGGCAAAGTGACCAGCATAAGGTGAACCATAGCAGTGAAACAAGACCCCAGGTATCTCCTTATCAACTACACATCTCCTGAAAATCCCATCAGAGCAATGCCTATATAAGTAAGGCTCATCCAAAAGTAATGCCTCACATCCTTCAGAAACTTCTTCTTCTTGTTTCCCACGAAATCTGCAGGTTCCTGCTCTGCAGCAAGGTAATTTGCAATCTCTCCAAACCATGGGAAAACAGAATGCCGAGTTACTTCAACTGAGCTGCAAAAATTTGTCAGAGCAGGTGCTCCCAAATTCGGAGCAGGTACTCGTCGAACCCAGAAACATCAGTGACGTAAACCTGTTCATCAGGGAGGCTGTCATCTAGGGGAATGTCATCATCAATCTTCAGCCTTGAAAGGTGATCTGCAACACCATTATCAATCCCTTTTTTTTCTTTGATCTCCAAGTTAAACTCCTACAGCAAAAGAATCCATCTAAAGAGCCTTGGCTTGGTATCCTTCTTCGTTAACAGGTATTTCAGTGCTGCATGGTCTGTGTGAACAACAACCTTTGACCCTACAAGGTAAGACCTGAACTTCTCAAAGGCATAAACTACTGCAAGAAGCTCCTTTTCACTTGTGGCATATCTGCACTGAGATTCGTCGAGTGTTCGGCTGGCATAATAAATGACATGAAGCCGCTTTTCTTTTCTCTGACCCAACACTGATCCCACTGCATAATCACTATCATCGGTCAAAACCTTAAAAGTCAGTTCCCATTTGGTGGCTGGACAATAGGAGCGCTGACCAAAACTCCTTTTATCGTGTCAAATGCCTCCAAACATGCATCATCGAACTCGAATTTCACATTCTTGCACAGCAGCTACGTCAGGGGTCTAGCAATCTTTAAAAAGTCTTTGATGAAGCATCTGTAAAACCCAGCATGACCCAGAAAACTGCGAACCCCTTTGACTGATGTTGGTGGCTGCAGACTCATCATCACCTCGATCTTTGCCCTGTCCACTTTGATCACTTTCTCTGAGATTTTGTGTCCCAGCACGATCCTATCTCTCATCATCAAATGCCATTTCTCCCAGTTGAGCACCATATGCTTCTCGTCACACCACTGGAAGACCCTGCATAAATTAGACAAACAGACAGAAAAAGAGCTTCCATAGACAGAAAAATCGTCCATGAAAACTTCCATTATGTCCTCAATCAGATCAGTAAAAATCAAGATCATGCAGCGTTGGAAAGTTGCCGTGTCAATGCACAAGCCAAATGGCATTCTGCGGTATGCGAAAGTGCCATAAAGACATGTGAATGTCGTCTTCTCCTGGTCGTCTGGTGGATTGGGGTCTGAAAGAAACTTGAATAACCATCTAAAAAGCAGTAGGGAGGATGGTTAGCCAATCTTTCAAGCATCTGGTCAATAAATGGCAGAGGGAAATGATCTTTGTGAGTTGCAGCATTCAATTTCCTGTAATCTATACACATTCGATGCCCAGTAACAGTTCTAGTTGGTATCAATTCATTCCTACTTTTTGATCACAGTGATGCCACCTTTCTTAAGAACTACATGAACTGGACTAACCCAATTACTGTCTGAAATCGCATAAATCACACCAGCTTCTAGAAGTTTCATTATCTCCTTCTTAACAACATCTTGTAGATTTGGGTTTAACCTCCTCTGATGTTCTATAGAAGTCATCGATTCATCTTCTAGATGTATTTTATGCATGCAAAAATCAGGAGAGATCCTGGAATGTCATCTAGTGAATATCCTAGAGCTTTCCTATATTTTCTTGGTTCACAAAGAAGCAAGACAATCTCTACATTGTTCAATTCAGAGTTCATTATCACAGGGTATGTGGAATTGGGTCCTAGAAACGCTTACCTGAGCCATGCAGGAAGGGGTTTGAGCTCAAACTTTGGAGCTCTCAATTCGCTCCAAGGTCCATCAATCAAGCCATCGGAAGCAGGTGCTCCATCGGTGTTTTATGCAGTTGAGCCCTCCTTGCCTTCCAAGCTCATGTACGCCACCAGCCTTTGCATCCTTATGTTCGCATCCAGCATCTATGCAAACACATCAGCTTCCTCACTCAAATACCCATGCTCTCCTTCGGCTTTTGTAAGTGCACTTCCAAAGGATCAATGGCCAAAACCTCTCAGCAACCTCTTCAGCAATGTCTGAACCATCATCAATGACATATGTCTGCCCGTCCAGCATTGGTTTCTTGAGGAGTTTATTCATCTCAAATCGCACCACCATATCTCCCAGCTGGATATCTATAACACCTCCTTTCATATCTATGATTGCACCAGCTGTGCATAAGAAGGATCGACCTAATATTAAAGGATCCTTGGGTTCTTCATCAAGCTCCAGAACCACAAAATCTGCTGGAATGAGTGTATCGCCTAACTGAACATGCAGATCCTCAAGTACACCAACAGGATATTTGGTTGATCTATCAGCGAACACCAGCGAAATTTTGTCGGCTTGAATTTGGTGTAACCCAATCGCTTGGCTACAGAATAAGGCATCAGATTCACACTTGAACCCATATCGCAGAGAGATCTTGCAAACAACACATTACCAATCCTGACTGAGAGAACAAATCTTCCTGGATCACTTCTCTTCTTCAGCACTTTGTTCTGCAGCACAGCACTGCACTCCTTTGAGACCATCATGACACTCTCTTCCTCAACAACTTTCCCAGAAACTAACCCCTTCATGTATCGCTTGAGGGCTGGTATCATCTGGACAGCATCAGCTAGAGGGAGTTTTACAGTCAAATCTTTGGTGGAACTGGGTAAGGTACCCTAGGCGTATAAACTCGTGCAGGAAAATTTTCTGGAGCAGTTGGCTGGAGCAGGTGCTCTGTCGTCAGTTCAGGGCGCTCCATCGTCGGAGCATGTGCTCCAAGACTCGGAGCAGGTGCTCCAGTTGAGGAAGTATGCTCTATCGTCTTTTTTACGCCATGAGTTGGTGCTCCTTATTGGAGCAGGTGCTCCACGTCTTTTTCCTTCCTCTTTTCTAAGACAGAGCTTGTTGGTGTAGCATGCAGAGTTCTCCCACTTCTCAGCTCAATAGCATTTAAAAACTCAGTCCTGGGTTTTCACCTTTTCTAGGGAGAGTTCCAGGTGATCTCTTCACAGCTTCAGCAGCTGAGCTTCCTGAACATCCAACTTCTTTACATGAGTCCACACTGCCTCATATTTGCCATTCAAATCATTGTACATGGTGTCCATCTTGGCATTTATCTCCATGGAAGACTTTTGCTGATTAACCAGCAGCTGTTGCATCAAGTTTTTCAGCTCATCCTGCGACTTATTTGGGGAACTCGAAGAAGGCTGCAGATTTGTGAAAGACAACTTCTGCTGATTTCCACCTTGAAATCGATTCTGTTTGGTGATGAACTGCTTTCCTTGGAAGTTTCTAGAGAAGTTCTTCTGAAATCCTGACTGGTTCTGCACTCCTTGCTGCGGATAGACCTGAACCTGAGGGTTCTCAACATTGTTGCTTCTGTAGGACGAATTTGGGTGGTTCCTGAAGTTGTTGAAGCTGCGGTTCTGCACATACCCTTGTCCATTCACAAAGTTCACCTCTATCTGATCATCATCCTCTGCTTCTACAAACTCTCGAGCATGAGGTGTATCACTAATCTCATCAGCAAAATGCACTGATTTCTGGTTCTCTTTCAACAACAGATTCACCTTTGCTGTTAGCTCATCGATTTTTCTCAACTCCACACTATGAACTGCTTTGCTAGACCTGTCATATTCTTGGGATTTGTTGCTGGAGCTTGCAGCTAAGTTCTCAATCAACTTATAAGCACCTGCTTTGGACTTAGTCATGAAATCGCCATTGCTAGCTGCATTCAAAGCATTCCTGTAATGCCAGTTGACACCATCATAAAAGGTTGAAAGAATCTGCTCATCAGAGAACCCATGGTGAGGGCACTCTCTTCGGTACTCCTTGTACCTTTCCCAAGCTTCGCAGAAAGCTTCACCAGGTTGATGTCTAAACGAAGAGATCTTATTTCTCAGAGCTGCAGTTTTGGACTTAGTGAAGAAGTGATCCAAAAACGCTAATCTGCACTCTGCCCAAATAGTCAATGACCCAGTTAGCAATGACTTCAACCAGCGCGAAGCTTTATCGGCAAGTGAGAATGGAAAAAGCTTGCACTTCAGAAAATTGATTGGTATCCCATTCGATCCAGTCGTACTGCAAATCTCCTCAAAATTCTCGATGTGGTCCATCAGAATTTTCAGCAAGAAGCCCATGGAAAAGATGCTGCTTCACCAATGAGATCAGCTGAGGTTTGATCTCAAAGTATTACCTGTTAATCGTTGGAGGAGCAATCGCAGCTCTGTTTTGGTAGAAAGCATGCGGATTGTCCTTGTCTCCGATGGCAGGCTGTAGCTGCTCCCTGCCTTGCTGAGCTTTTTGCAACTGATCCAATAGTTGCCGAAGCTGCTGCATCTCAGGTAACACGTTGTTGTTGCCCTGATCGCCCATGGTGGCTTGAATAGGCCTTTGACGTCTGTTTTCTCGCTCGACTCTTGCTAGCTTGGCGTTTGACAAAGAAACAAAATCCTCAGTGTAGTTGCTCCTTGTGGACCTGTTTGTCATGCACCTGAAACACACACAGACAAGAGAAAAAGAGAAAAAGTAAGTAAGGTCTTAGTCTGAATTTCAAACCAAGAATCAAAGGTAACGAATTGATCCCCGACAACGGCACCAAAAATTGATTCCAACTGGATGTATCTCCTAGTTTCTACTGCAATAGAACAGCTTCGAGATTGTAATATAAAGTATTCGAAATCCAGAGGACCATTGTTACTCTATGACTCTAAAAGGACTGAATTAAAGCTAAGACGAAAGAGGTTGGTTTGTAACTTTAACGACAAGTAAAAGTAAACTAAAGACAGTTTAAATTCAAATTAAAACAAGCACTAGATCAAGGAAATTCGCAGGAGTTTCAGAGATGAAAATCAGATGACTATTCAGGGCACATATTAAACGCAGGTCTCGAACTCAAAATAAACGTATAACGATCCACTGTCGTGGCACCGATAACTTTGTCTAACAACCTAAATTCTAAACTGTCGTTTGAACCTAGAAAATTGCAGACAAGCATTAACGAGCAGGTTTGATCTGTTCACGGTTTGCCTTAACTTCAACTGTCGTTGGCTAAGGAAAAATCGCTCACCAATGTTAATTCTAACAACCTATTACACTTTTGATGAATAAATTAACCTTAGATCACAAGTTGAGTGGCCAGTTAAACCTAAGCGTTAAGTCTAACAGTGGTGAAGGCAATCGATTTTAAGCCCTATTTGCATCTAATTCTCTAACTCATGAAATCCTTTGAAAACCTTAATCTAGCTAAGAGATCTACTCAGACATGGAGAAAAGAAACACAGCAACAGATGAAAAAGAATTCATGAAATAAATCGCAGAAGTGATAATAGGGTTCAGAATTCTTCTCAAAGTGTAGCAGATTTCTTCTCCCAAAAGCTTACAAGTAAAAACTCTCTAGTTCAGAAAATTGTAAAAAGAAACTTAGAAGAAAGTCTGTAAAACGTGGTTCTGTTTTTTAGGCGGCTCTGGACTTTTTATTCTCTTTCTGGTCCCAGAATTAGGTGAAAATCGTTTTCCTTATTTTTCTCCAGGTAGTTAGAGCAGATGCTCCACGAAAGGGTGAAATTGAGAGCAGGTGCTCCCGACCAAGAATGATCCAACTTCGTGTAAATTGGCCTCTTTTGCTCAGTTTTAGCTCCTTTTTGCACCAAAAGCTCCAACTGCTCTAATCCTCGCCTAAAGTCACCTTGATAACTGAAACAACCTGAAAAAGACTCCAAAGACTCCTTAAAAGATCAGAAAACACATGTTAGAATGAGGCAAAATAGCCATTTATCAAGAAATCCTGAGTGACACCCAGAAATGACTTGAACACTATAAATACATGCTTTAAGAACCCTAGACGATATGCAATTTCTCTTTTAGCAGCTTTTAAGGTTTTTGCCTTTCATTTTTTTAGTTTTAGGTCTAAGGAGATAGAGATCTATCTCTTAAACCGTTCCTTTACCATATCGATTTTAATACAGCCTTTCAATACAAAGTTTTTGATTTCATTAATCATGTCTGAGTAGTTCTATTCGTTGAGTCTAAGAAAATTTCGATGGTGATGTTATGTGTTCGATGAGGATTCCATTAGCTATTGAAACCGAATCCTAGAACGTTTTCTTCTAAACTTATTTTTAATGCATGGGAGTAGTGTCATGAACTACGATCTGATATAGGTCCTTGGTGTTGTGAAAGTATTCATCCGGGGCCAGATCTAGTTTGAGAAGAGCAAATCAACCATATGAGTGGAAACCTACCTATGGGAGAACTGTCAATATTGACGAGTCTTAAGCAAAGCTTGCATCTTTTCCTTTTCAGGGCCAGAGTGGAAACCTACTGGTCAGAGTTGCAAGAGATTGTTGGTTATGATCATGAAAATGGTGTATTCATATGTTCGTGACTCGAGTTCTAAAAGTTTTAGCAATGATCTTTTAATTTACATTTTAGAAATGTTTGAATCGTTCATACCACGGAGAGTATTTCCCTGAAAACTCAGCGCCTCGTTTTTATTGTTTTACACCAAATTTATTTAAGCTTTTAGGTCTATCATTTTCTTCATTCCAGCCGATTTTATTCAATCAATTTACGTCTAGTTGTTTTTCTCATTTTCATTCGATTTTATTAAGTTTAATTATTAGGTCATTTTGATTCTTGTATTTTCCCGTTTAGATTAGTTTTTACGTTTTAAAGACACCCCCAAAACCATTCTAAATATTGCCTGGTTCTAAACTTTCTTACTTTATATTTCTTTCAAAGGCTTTTGCAGGAAAGAACCTCCTTCCTTGTGGATTTGATCCCTAAGTACTACAATCAATCAGCTGTGCACTTGTGGCTATTAATTTCATTAGGGTAAAACTTGACACCCATCGCACACCACACATCAGACCAACATTATAAACTACTTTTTTTATTTACTCTAATGTAACATCTCTGGTTAAATCCTCATTTACCTCAGATGTTACTTTCTGTTGAAATCCTTGAAATGCATCTTCATATAACCTCCGTGAACTCGGGTTTGAAGTGAAAAGATTTTGAAAAGATTTAACTGCCACTTTTTGAACCTCTGCATTACCTCTCTTAAGCACACCCTCCTCATCCATAATAGAATTTAGTCTATTACGACTTCTTTTGGTTTTGGTGACAGAGTGGAAGTATCGAGTGTTACGATCTCCTTCTATTAACCAAGGAACTCTGCTTTTAAGTTTCCAAAAGAGCTCCTCCCCAATGTATGTTTAATTGAGTATTGCTGAGAGATCTTTTTTCTGCATTGGTTAATGATCCAGTTGAAATTCCTTGGTCCAATCTATGTCGAATAGTTGTTATTTTCTCTGCAGCATTAAGTCTTTTGTTCTTCTTCCATTTAGAAATGTGTTTCCTGCAGTTTGTGAGTCTTTCCACCAGTCTTGTACCAGTATTTGTTCTTACCTCTTGGTCCTCTGACATAAATGTTATGAGAGGCCGATAATTATACTCAGTGAACTCTAGATATTCCATTTCAGATGTAGGGAATAATCTATGCCATTCACTTGTTGCCAAAGATTTGTCTAAACAGCAGGAAACATAGTGTTGTCCTCTCTATCCAGCCCAAGAAAACTTGTCTCCT